GCAGGACGTCCCGGCCCCCGCCGCCCGCCCCTGCCCTGGACGCGTCGGCCCCTGACGCTTCCCGGAAACAGCCTCGTGCATCGTGGGGCCTTCCCTGTCCAGCCCCTTTCACGGAGGATAATGTTTTGTTTTTTTAAGATTTTATTTTTCTAAAATCACTTTTAGGTTCATAGCAAAACTCAGAGGAAGGTACAGAGATTCCCGGTACGCTCTTGTCCCGCGTTACCGGCATCCCCACCAGGGGTGTTGTTAATATTTGCTATTGATGAATCTGCATGAACACGTCACCATCACCCAGGGTCCCTGGTGCACACTGGGGTTCGCTCCTGGTGTTGGAGGTGCTGTGGGCTCGCAGATCCATCGTTAAAACATCCTACGCAGTGTCTTTGCTGCCTCAAAACACACAGGACTCTTTCAGTGCTCAGAACCTACTAAAGAGGAGCCTTGGCGAACAGCGGGAGTGTTCCAACGTGAGCATCTGGTACTAGGGGTCAAAACAGACTTGTGTTCTTTGGGCTCCTGGTTTGAGGTCTGGGCAGGGACACACTTGACAGCTGGATGCTCTGCCCAGGCAGAAGCTGTGATGGGGAGAGTGAGATCTGTTAACAGGGAAAGGAAACTTCCTGGCACGTTGTCGGGATTGTAGAAAGGCTGTCACGTCTTCGAGGCCCTGGGCTCCTTTGTGCAGTGGGAGCATCCACATCGGAAGTCAGGGAATCACTGCCTGGTCCATGCAGAGAGGCTGCGCAGCCTCCTGCAGAACTGGGAGAACTCCTGAAAGGGTTCCCGTGCCTGTTTCTGCACTGGCACACCTCCCAAGAAAGCGAATGGACCGTTAATTCAGTCAAACTATAAAGTTGATGAAAAAACTATTGGAAGCCACAGCCTGACACGAGGGGTTTACCCTCAGGGTGTGTGCAGATAAGGAGCGGGAAATTGGAGCAGAGGCCAGACCAGACTGCACCCAGAGTGAAGTTCTGGGACGGACAGAGGGGGATCCATACCCGCAAAGCCCTGGACCTGTGGGCAGGAAGCTGCCAGCGGATCCCCTGGGGAGAGGAAACACAGGGCACTTTGCATTGTTTTCCCTTTCACTTTGAACTTGATTTTTTTGCTGTTTTCCTAATTGCCTCTGATTCATCATCTGTGTATGTTTTGCTTGGTTGTATGACAAGTGAGGTTTGTGTTCCTGGGAGGAGGGAGCTCTGGAGAAATGCCAAAGAGAGGGCGGTGCAGTGTGATTAGGAGGTGGCTATCAGTGGTGTGAGTGGGTACAGCGGAGCATTCCTGGGGTGACACAAACATGGGCTTTTGTGCTTCGGGTGCACAGCTCCGTGCAGCATTGATTTCCAATTAATTCAGTATCAACAGCCCTTTTGTGTAACTAGGCATTCATGCCACACTTCAGATGAGGGCGCAGGGAGCCTCTTCTAATATTTGTATTTGCTTAGAGAAGTGCTCACTTCAAGGTCATCGGAAAAGAGTTGTTCTCATGAAAATGCCCGTATTCACAAACCCTCCCGCACGTCAGGCATTCCTGGAGTGGAACCACTGAGGGCGCCGAGGGTGGGCTGTGCCTTGCTTGTCATGGGAGCGAGCACAGTGCTTCTCACCTGATCAGGGAATCTATAGCCTTTAAGTCTGAGATGGCAGCTTTTTTTTTTTAATGTTTAATTGTGGCAGAATACACATAACATAAAACTTACTGTCTACCATTTTTGAGGGTACAGTTCCAGTGTCATGTGTGTTCATGTTGTCAAGCAGCCAGCCTCCTGAACTTTGTCATCTTGCAAAATTGAAACTATCCCCACAAAACATGAACTCCCCACCCAGCCTCCTCCAGGCCCTGGCACCCACTGTTCTACTTTCTGTCTCTCAGTTTGCTGAGAAGTGGGCTCATACAGGATTCGTCTTTTTGTGACTGGCCTCTCTCACTTAGCACAGTGTCCTCTGTGTTCGTCGTTCTCATAGCACATGTCAGAACGTTGTCCCTTTTCAGGGCTGAATAATATCCCTTTGTGTTGGTAGACCACATTTTGCCATCTGTTCATGCATCGATGGGCACACAGGTTGCTTCTTCCTTTTAGCTGTGTGAACAGTCCTGATGTGATCACTGTGTATTTATTTGTTCAAGGGCCTCTTTCTCTGGGGTGTATCTCCAGGCATGGGACTACTGGATGATGTTGGGTGGCAGCTTTTAACCAATGGTTGTCTCTCCTCCCAGGCGCCTGCAGGAGGAGGACCAGCAGTTCCGAACCTCGTCGCTGCCAGCCATCCCCAATCCTTTCCCGGAGCTCACTGAAACAGGGAGCCCCCCTGAGGTCACGTCCGGCTCCTTACCTCCGAGCCAGAGCCAGAGCCAGGCCCCGGCCCCAGCCCCGGCCCCGGCCCCAGCCC